GACTAAGGTGGAGCAACTAGGGCACCAAAACTGAGAGCACACTGAAGCCTAGTGGTGACTCTACTAGTGTGAGGAAAATACTGTAAATGGCAACCCTTCCAGACCCTGTTCACTTTCCTTTTATTTGAAAATACAGACTTTCTCTTCCTTTTAGTGGGACACTACACTCTCCTCCTCCTTTTTCAACAGAAATCACATTGGATAACAATCACATACTCTTACTTTGCAAAGTGTACAAATTTATTTACAAAATAAAGGTAGAGTTCAATCCAACATCCTGACCTCCAAGAGATGCTGTTCTTTATCAGATTTCTATGGAAATCCATAGTGATGTGGGATTCATACAGAGAACAATTCATTTAATTGTGTATCCCTTTCAATCTTACAATAAAACTGTGAGGTTTTCCATATGTTTCCTGCTTACATTCATGACTCCTCTTATAGTATACATTCATGCATGTTTAATAATGGCTGGCCTCACTTCCCACTGAGGCACATCAGCTGGATGTAGTGGGCTATCAACAGTCTTCCACCTGTTCCCAAGAAGTATTGGCCTCCAGTTGGATGCTCTCAAATCCTAGGAGACCCCAATGAAAGCATAGGTATGCAACTTGGGAGGGGGTGCTCCTGGATTTGTCTCTGAGCTTGAATGCTCAGGTTTTGGTGGTGCCCAGGAGTGCATTTGCACAACTAAAACTAGTGCACCAGCTGTACTTGTTCCTGGAGAAATGTGATCTGATAATGGTGACACACGCCTTCCTTACATCTCAGCTGGATTACTTTAACACACCCTGGCTGCCTCTGGGAAAGTGTCTGGAAACACCAGCAGGTTCAAAACACAGCAGCCAGGTTGCTAACTGGGGCTGGTTACAGACATCACATAACCCCTCTGTTACATCAGCTTCACAGGCTGCTAATCTGTTTCTAGGCACAATTGGCCTGGACTCCCTTGGCTTTGCAGGATTGGGCCCTTACTGCCTTTGGCTGCCACCACCCCCTCCTCAACATGATCAGCCACCTGGCTCAGAGGGGGAAGAAGGGGCTTTAGAAGGTGTTTTTTAAAAATTGTGATTATTAATTGCCATCAATTAAGAGAGACCCTCAATGGATTTGAGGGAGCAGGGGACTCCCTTGGCTTTGCAGGATTGGGCCTTTACTGCCTCTGACTGCCCCCACCACCCTCTCCTCAACATCAGCCACCTGGCTCAGAGGGGGAAGAAGGGGCTTTAGAAGGTGTTTTTTAAAAATTGTGATTATTAATTGCCATCAATTAAGAGAGACCCTCAATGGATTTGAGGGAGCAGGAGGGGGGAGGGAATTGGAGGGGGCAGCCATTGAGGTGGTGCTGGGTAGAGGAAGGAATGGTGGGGGTGGTAGAACATGCCCATGTTGGAGAAGAGAGGTTAGATGTCGTACATCTATCCCCTCTTCTAGTCCTACCCCCAACCAGATGGTATCAGGTGACCATATCAGCAAACTCTCGAGCCACACAGTGCTGTTGATGAATGCCAGATCAGTACAAAATAAGACTGCCCTCATCCATGATGTAATTCTGGATGAGGGTGCTGACCTGGCGTGCATTACTGAGACCTGGGTGAGAGAGGAGGGTGGTGTTCCCCTCTCCCAGCTGTGTCCGCCTGGGTACTCGGTTCAGTACTAATGTTGCTCAGAGAGTCAGGGAGGGGGAGTTGTTATAGTCTATAACAGTTCTGTCTCCTTGACCAGGCTTCCTATCCTTTTGAGAGGAGGTCTTGAGGGCCTGTATTGTGTGTTGGGCTTACGAGACAGATTGGGGATTCTGTTGGTGTGCCTCCCACCATGCTGCGTACCAACAGTCTCTCTGTCTGAGCTGACGGAGATAGTCTCAGACCTGGTGTTGAGGACTCCCAGGCTGTTGGTGCTGGGGGACCTCAACATCCATGCCAAGGTTGCCTTGACTGGGGCGGCTCAAGACTTCATGACTGCCATGACAACCATGGGGTTGTCTCAATGTGTCATCAGCCTGACATATTAGAAGGGCCATACCTTGAACCTGGTTTTCTCAATGGGACTGGAAGATGTTGGTTTGGATGTGGAGGGGCTGGTTGTGACCCCATTGTCATGGTCAGACCACTTCCTAGTCAAGTTTAGCGTATTAGCTTCTTCTCCCCTCTGCAAGGGTGGGGGATCTATTAAGATGATCTGCCCTCGGAGACTAATGGATACAGAAGGTTTCTTGAATGCCCTTGGGGATTATCCGTCTGATATGGTTGGTGCTCCTGTCGAAGCTCAGATCAACCTATGGAATAGGGAGATGACTCGGGGGGTTGACGTGATTGCACCTAAGCGCCCACTCCCTGCATGCAGAGCCCAGACAGCTCGTTGGTATACTTCTGAGCTAAGCTTTAAATTTTTATTTTTTGGACTACCAGAATCTCTAAAAACAAAAAACAAAAACAAGACAAGACAAAACAAAACTTTTTCATTTTTTGTTCCTCAATGCTATATGTTTATAGATTCTTCCAGCCCCCATTGTGTCTCTCGCATTGCTTCCTTCCATCTTTTCCCCCCTTTTCTTTCTTTCATCTGATGCCCAGACCTTGCAAAATGTTAATGGGATAGCTGCTTTTCATTTGCGTCTAGGGCACAACTCATTGGCACTCTGCAGAAATAACAACTACGCTCTACCTTTCTTATTTATTTTAACATTTAGCTTTTGCACAGGGAGCTCTACAACTGGATTCTGCTCGTGGGTTCTTTCTTTCTTTCTTTCTTTCTTTCTTTCTTTCTTTCTTTCTTTCTTTCTTTCTTTCTTTCTTTGTTTTGCAGATTATGAAGGAATGCAATCTGATAGTTGCGGTAGCAATGAGAGAGAGCATGGAGACTGCCATACTGGCCATGCTGGCTGAGGGATTCTGGAAGTTACACTCTCAAAGAGAACGTCTCCAAGATCTGCCCTGGAAAAAAGGACATTGAAACACTGCTGTCAATACACTGCAGTAATCGTTTTACATGTAGAGGTGATAATTAGTTTCAAGTTCATTACCTCATCCCCAGCATTCTTTGGGCTGAACCATGCCAAATCGTTGTGGCAAGTATCTGTCATTGTTTCATGGAATAAAAATTGATCATGCTTAAAACAGTTTCCGTTTCGCTGAATTCCAGAAACAATTCATTCTCAACTGAACAAAGCAATCCAAAATCTTAAAATATCAGCCTCCATTATAAGTTTATACTGGTTTTCTTATGTGGACTACATGTGGTACTGATTCCTTCAAACAGATTGTAGATTGGCAAAAATGCAGAGATCCATATTAAACACCTCTTATTGAGTTATAATTCTCGGAGTTCCCCAGAGTGTTACAGTACAGGCCTTTACTTGTCTACTCAGATGTAAAATCTTGCCCTACTCCCTTATTTCTTTCTGTTTAGGACTGCAGCCTCAAGCCTGTGTAACTCAATCCAGACAAGACGGAAGTGCTGTTTGTGGGTGCTTCCCCAGTCAGGCTGGAGGGCCATTTCCCTGCCCTGAATGGGGTCACACTCCCCCTAAGGGACAGGGTCCACAGCCTGGGGGTGCTCCTAGACCCCTGTATAACTCTGGAAGCCCAGGTGGACTCAGTGGCCAGGGGCGCCTTCGTTCACCTGCGGAAATTATACCAGCTATGGCTCTACCTTGACGAGTGGAGTCTCATGACAGTTACATGCACTGCTAACATCTCGTACAGATTACTGCAATGCACTCTACATGGGGCTGCCTTTGAAGATGGTCCAGCAACTGCAACTGGTCCAGAATCGAGCTGCACAGCTGGTGAGTGGTGGGGCCACTAGGGGACACATCAAGCCGATTCTGTTGAAATTACATTGGCTACCAGTTGCTGTCCAGGCCCAATTCAAAGTGCATGTTTTGACTTATAAAGCCCAAAACGGCTTGGGCCATGGGTACCTGAAGGACCGCCTCCGTCCATATAAGCCTACCCGACACTTAAGATCTAGCCAGGGGGCCCTTTTGAAAGAGTTGTCCCTCAAGGAGGTAAGAGGGACGGCTTGTAGACAAGGGGCCTTTTCAGCAGCTGCCTCCAGACTATGGAATGCCATCCCAATTGAGATTCGTCTGGCACCGACGCTGATGACATTTTGGTGCCAGGTAAAAGCCCTCCTGTTCCAGAAGGCTTTTAATTGAAATAATATCA